TTGAGACAGGGTCTCCCAGTAGCCCCAGCTGGCCTGGAACTCACAGAGATCGACCTGCCTCTGTCTCCAGTGCTGAGACTACAGGCATGCACCACCATGCCTGGCTCTGATTTACCTTTCAAAAGGACCTACCACTGACTGTCAAGCCAGTATTACCACATTCCTTTTTTTTTTTCCTGGAAAGATGGGCAACTATTTGGCAGATTTCCTAAAAACTAGAATTCTGACTCTCACCTACAAGGACAAAAGGCTTCCAAAGAAATGTTTTAAGTTTGACCTCTGGTAACCTACTGGGATATACTGGGAACTTAAACTTGTAAAGGCAATGATAGGAATAGGACTGTGGTACAAAACTCAAGTCATAGTCCAAAGCAATGGCGGGGAGGGGGGGCGGGGCAGGGCGGTCATGAGTCCTGTAGAAGGAAGATTGATGGGGAAAAGAAAGCAAAGAACAAAGTTGGTGTTGACTGGAAGAAAGACCTGGAAGGGCTACAGATCAGACATGCAGAAAGGAGGGTAAAAACTTGAAGTATACCCTCTTAGCTTCAGACATTTTTACTGCTCATGCTTGAAAAGATTAACTCTGAAGTTCTACATGTTTCTACACTTCAGATACAACTGATGTGGTCCCTGAGCACCTGAGCCAGTGCCAGAGCCTGACCCTCTACCAGGGCTTCTGTGCCATGAAGTATGCCATCTATGCCCTCTGTGTGAACTCACATCAGCACTCCCAGTGCCAGGATTGCAAAGACCGCACCTCTGAGGACCTGGCCTTGGAGCCAGGGAATGACTGTCTCCCCTCCCCAGGTACACTCCATCCCCCTCTTCCCAACAGATGCAGAGATCTTCCCTAGTAAGTGTTTTATGTGGTTAACCTTTTCCTACTAGGATTGAGGTGTCCTCCATTGTATGGTGCTTGGGAATAATTTGATACATGTATCAGCCTTTGAATCAAAGGGACACAGAAAAAGCAAAGGAGTTGTGGTGCACACTGTGGAGGCAGAGGCAGATGGATCTCTGTGAGGTTGAGACAAGCCTGTCTACAGACCTTGTCTCAAAAATCAAAATTTAAAAAAAAATCAAAGGACTTACTTACATTTTAATGAAACCTGATCATCTAGTGTATTTGCCAAATGCTTTCTTTTTTGTAGCTGGAGTTCATAGTAAGAATAGCATTTCATATCAGCTCCAGTTTAAATTTAGGTGTGCAACTTATATCTTCATATATGTATGCGTGTATGTATGATAAATAAATTGAAACTAAGTTTAAAGAAAAACTTGTAATTTTTTTCTTTTACTTTTTTTATTTTTTAAAATAGTCTTGCTATGCAATTCAAATGGAAGTTGATAGAGCCCAGGCTAGCTTCAAACTTTCAAGTCTCCCTAACACTAGGATTACAAGCATGCAGTATCATGCCAGCTCTCTTGTTTTGTTTTGTTTTGTTGTTTTTTGAGACAGGATCTCCCTGTAGCTCCAGCTGGCCTGGAATTCACTATGTAGATCAGGCTAGCCTCAATCTCACAGCAGTTTGCCTGCCTCAGCCTCCAAGTGCTGGGATTAGCGTTATGTCACCACACCCCTGTTGACTATTGAATGTTTAATAGACCTACGCAGCCTGTGATCATCTTTAGTGTTACAACAGGTTAAAATAGACTTAAGGGATAAGGAGTCCACACTACCTGGAACTGGCATATGAAATATTTGTTGGAGATAAGGAATAATAATATCATATTTTTAAGCAGAAGCCTAGTAAGAAGTATTCGTGAGCTGTGCTTTTTAATGCTTTCCTCCTCTTTTCCCTTCCTCTGGTCTCTTCTCTTCTACACCCTCTTAGGTGCTTCACCTCTCTTCTCACAATACCTGGCCAGGTGTCGACAGTATTTACACAGTGTCCCTGACTCTCTGTGCCTGGAACTTCTCGAAAACATCTTCTCGTTGCTCCTCATCACCTCTGCCGATCTTCACCCAGAACCTCACTTACCCGAGGACTATGCTGAGGATGATGACCTGGAGGGGAAAGGCCTCCAGGGATTGAGGTCACCATCAGAGAGCCCTCAGCACATAGCACAGCCTGCGAGGAAGTCAGAGCGGAGTTCTCTTGGACCCAGGAGCCTTGCTCATACAGTGCCAAGCTATCCAAAGACAGAACCAAAAGGCAGTTCTCCAGGACCTCACCGGAACAACTTTTTGGATCTGAAGCACTTGACTAGTGGCATCAGTGGATTCTTGGCTGATGAATTTGCAATAGGAGCATTTCTTGGTCTTCTTCAGGAGCAGCTAGATGAGATAAGCAGCCATAGCACCCCAGCAGAGTCAATGTTGCTAGAAGGCCAGAGCTTCCCAGGAGGCAGGGATGGACTGCAGAGCCGCCTACATCGGTTTTCCAAGGTTCTCTCTGAGGCTCAGTGGAGATACAAGGTGGTAACAAGCAACCAGGGCTCAGGTGAGAGGGGGGAACAGAACTAGAAGGTCTAGAAAGTAGAAAAAGGAGAAAAATCCCAGGATCATAGACAAGAGGTAGATAGGGTACCTGACAGCCATACCCTAATTCAATGCATAGAACCATAGTTCCTGTATCAGAAGAGTGGAGTAATACTCATGTCGCAGCTCAGTGCAGATCATCCCTGCTTGTTCCCACAAGAGGTCAAACCAAACCTCATCACTTTGCCTGTGTTTGCTGTTTCAGAAGAGCAGCCCTCTCGAAGGTACCGGCCCATTGCCACAAGGCACTCTAGTCTCCGCAGAGGTCGCCGGACAAGAAAGGGCCGGGCAGGTAATCTGAAGAGCTCTCTTCTCAAGCCTTGTTCCCATACACCAGACAAGTGGCATACTGCTCTACTGCTTGTCAAGTGTTCTTCTACATAGAGCACAAGGTCCAAGCAAACAAAAGTATAAGATTATCCTACTCCTTCCTAAGTCAACTCTTGTTTCTTGTATATCCAGAAATTTTCCATACACCACAAACACTCATATCCTTTCACATATACATAAATACACACACACACACACACACACACACACACACACACACACACACAGAATCGCACTGTCCTTTTTTACAGTTATATCCTTTTATGTATGCAAACTTATCATTCTGTATATTGAGAATTTCTTACCATTTTAACAGTTGCCTTGCATTACATTGTCATATGTGCCCTATTAATGGATATTTAGGTTGTATGCAGTTTGTACTATTAAAAATGATGTAATATCCAAGAGTGGTAGGGCACGGCTGGAATCCCAGCACTCGAGAGGCTGGGGCAGGAGGATCCAAAGTTGGAGGCCATCTTGAGATACATAGTAAGATTCTGTATAAAACAAAGCAAAAACAATGCTACATTAGCTGGGCATGATGGCGTACACCTTTAATCCCAGCGCTCAGGAGGCAGAGGCAGGCCAGTTGCTGGGGCTACAGGGAGACCCATTGAGGAAAGAAAAAAAAGCTATCTCTTTTTTTCTTGTTTTTTTTTTGAGATTGTGTTTCCCTGTTCCACATGACCACACTAAGGACAGACGGCCTCTCTTGGCACATCCCAGCACTTCAGGAAAGCTGGTGCTGAGAAGCTTTTCCTCCGGGGCTTTGAATAGCATGGACTTTGGCAGCTAGGCTTTCCACTGCGGCTCCCTACCTTTTCAACTTTGAAGACACCCTTTTCTGTGTCAGAAAATGTTATGACTCTTCTTTGCATCTTGTTGCTTCCTGGCCATAACAGTTGTACTTTACTTTTACTAGGTTATTGCAAGTACTTAGCTGGCAGATGTTGATCACAAGCTCCTAGAGCTCTAAGACCCATAATGTACAAACCAATGGTAAAGGCTACTAGCCAAGAGAACTCTGGGGCCATATTAATCCTGCCTTCCATGAAAACCTGCCTTCCATCCTTGCTATCTAGAAGAAGCAACAGGCATAGTAGTCACCCCTTATCTTCCCTGTCTACCCAGATCGTGGCTTGTTAGCTAACTTTGTACTTTCTCCACTATAAGGAGTTGATGCTTGATTTTTCTCTCTTCTTTCTCACACCTCTAGATGGTCGGAGCAGAGGCTCTAACCTAACCCTGGAAAGTACAAGTAGTGAGCTGAGTACAAGTACTTCAGGTATGGATCCCAACTAGATGCCAACTTTTGGCAGAGTTGCCCTAGTACAAATTTGCCATGTAACATGTGTTAAAAACAGAATTGAGCCTGTGTTAAGGTTTATTGTGCAGATAGCCAAACAGCTGTCAGCTGGGGAAAAAGAAAAGGCTTCACTCAGTTGAGCTACCCAACAGCAGGGAGAAAAAGGTGACTACCCAAGGGAGGCAGTTGGTACTTGTATTCTAAGACGATGGCAAATGTGTGGCCTTCATTTGAAGAGAAACCAAGACCCATTTACAGACTTTTTAGGGAAAACATAAGAATATGGAGAAGAGGGGACAACAGTATGATTTTTCCTTAATTTCTCTGACCTCCTATATTCTTGCATCCCTACAGAAGGGAGTCTGAGTGCTGTGTCTGGGCAGATTGAGCTGGATGGGCGGTTGCAGCCCCAACCTCAGAGTTCCCTCATCCCCATGATGTTCTCCCCACCTGAGTCACTGCTGGCATCCTGTATCCTTCAAGGGAACTTTGCAGAAGCCCATCAGGTGAGGGGAGCCACAGCAGCTCACTGTCATAGTAAAGTATGCTAAGTCATCCACTGGCTGGCTCCATCATGCTGGGCCTCAGCGAAAGCTAGATAGATGGATGTGACTCCAGAGTCACTTGGGAGTAGTTGGGGGCAGGGGAGGGTTACTTTGAGCAGAAGAAACAGAAGGGAATTCCCAGGTGTGCAGGCCCAGTGCTTAGCACCAAAGATTTAGAGACAGTATATTGTTTGTGTTCTTGACATAAGTGGTGTTTTAATAAGATAAACTATTTAGCCACAATCTCAATACTTCAGAACAGTGGGATTTTTGTTTCTTTCACTCCCGTGAACACAACTGTGTTTTTATATAGCTACAAATCATAATACAGTCAATGTCTGGTAAAGAACAGGAAGACTGTTAATGTTCAGTGTACAACTATAGGGGCTAATAGACTAGAGGGCCCATCATATGTGTAAAGAAAATAGCACTGGGGTAGAGAAAGACCCAGTCTCTCTGAGACTTGATAACCTCTTTGGACAATTATAGTTAAATACATTTTACATGCCTGCTTTTCCCACCTCATAGCGATGTTAAGAAGATTATGCAGCAGCTATAAGAAATTTGAGAATGCTCTGCATTGTTTGAACTCAAGAGCATTAAATACTCTTCTAATGTTTCAAACTCTTGGTATATTTTTTGGCACTTAATGCTGGTTCCTTAACTTGTATGTTAGAATTTTCCTACACTGTGATTTTAGATATTAAGGAAGAAATCTAAGTGAAGCGTAGGTAATAATTTAACTTATCAGGGATTTCCTTAACTCCCTCTGATCATTTTAGAGTGCCTATTTTAATAATTATGATCCTTTGGACAAGAGAAGGAATCCCTCAACCTACCCCACCCTCGAGCCTTTCTTTTTGTTGTTTTGTTTCTGCAGTGCTGTGAATTGAACCAGAGGCCTCACACAGAGTGGGCTTTACAGTGAGATACAGTCCTGGCTCTAAAATTGGGAGGAAGGGTCAGCTGATTTGTTGCTGTTGCTTCACAGCCATTCTGAAACCCAAACCCAGACAATTTGGCTAGGAATTATATAGTGCCTTCACTCCTAAAGACCGTATCTGTCTTCCTTTCCTTTGGCCTTGGTCTTTTTTTTTTTTTTTTTTTTTTTAATGTGTGTATATGAGTGTTTTCCCTGCATGTATGTAAGTATACCCAAGTTGTGCAATGCCCATAAAGATCAGAAGAAGGCATCAGATCCCTTGGATCTATGGTTGCTGGGAATTGAACCTGAGTCCTCTGGAAGAGCAGCCAGTGCTCTTACAACCACTGAGCCATCTCTCCAGCCCCTCTTTTCAATTTTTTAGTAAGAACTTTGTTTCTAACCTAGTTACAGAACAAGTTGTATTTAAAAAAAAAAAAATAACAAGAAAATAAAATTACTTTAACCCTATTTATGGAAATAGCCAATGTTAAAGATACATTTTGGGCCAATATTTTTCTAAAATACATATGACTTATATAATGAAGTTACTTTAAATTGTACCTTCTTTTACATTATAAACATATACCTTGTAGTTTTGATTTTGTGATCAGATAATAGTCTGTAATCATGTTGCATTTAACCATTTTCTTTATGTCCAACATGTAGATTATTTTCAACTTTGTTAAAATGCTATGGAAACATGGTCATCCTTAGGTATTAAGCCTTTTGGATTATTTCCTTAAGAAAAGTTCTCACAGCTAGGCATGGTGACTCACACCTATAATCCTAGCACTTAGGAGATGGAAGCAAGACAATTACTGAGTTCAAGACCACCCTGGGCTACAGAGTGAGAGCCTGTCTCAAAAAAAAGAAAGAGAAAGAGAGAAAGAAGAAAGAAACAGAGAGGAGAGGGAGAGGAAGAGGAAAGGAAAAGGAAACAGGAAGGGAGAAGAGAGGAGAGGACTTAACATAAGATATCTTTTTTTTAAATTATTTTTATTTTATGTGTATTCCTGTATTGCCTGCATGTATGTGAGTGCACCTGTGTCATCCAATGCCTGCAAAAGACAGAAGGCGCTGTCGGATTCCCTGGAACTGGAGTTACGGACAGTTGTTACCTGTCATGTGGGTGCTGGGATTCAAACCCAGGTCTTCTGCAAGAACAACCAGTGTTCTTAACCACTGAGCCATCTCTGCAGCCCCCAACATAAGATATATTTTAGGCTGATGAAATGGCTCAGCAGACAGAGGTACTTGCTGCCAAGTCTAACATCCTGAATTCAATCCCCGGGACCCATATGGTAGAAGGAAAGAACCAATTTCCACAAGTTGTCCTCTGACTTCCACATACATACCATGGAATACACTCACCTCTCCCATAATAAATAAACAAACAAATAGATGTAATTATTAAAACTTAAATTTTTTTTTAATATGTATATATTGCCTGCATGTATGTAAGTCCACCCAAGTTGTGCAATGCCCACGGAGGTCAGAAGAGGGCATTGGATCCCCTGGCATTATGGATGGTAGTTATCTGCCACGTGGATGCTAGGAACCATACCCAGGTCCTCTGGAAGAGCAGCCAGTGGTCTTAACTGCTGAGCCATCTCTCCAGCCCCTAAAAATCCTTTTTTATAGTTTTATAGACTTCCAGCCAGGCGTGGTGGCGCACGCCTGTAGTCCCAGCACTTGGGAGGCAGAGGCAGGCAGATCTCTGTGAGTTCAAGGCCAACCTGGTCTACATAGTGAGTTCCAGGACAGCTGGGGCTACAGAGAGACCCTGCTTCAAAAAGACAAAACAGAAAAAAAAGTTTTATAGATTTCCAAACTACTTTTCACAACAGTTGTGACAGTATACTTAACCCTTAAGGATTTATACTTACACTTTGCTAGTGTGTTAGATGTCAAATGTTAGATGTTACTTAAATTCCTAGATTAATAGTAAGCAAAAGTATTTTATTTCTGTACTTGTTATAAATATTTCCTCTGAAATTATTAACATCTTCTGTTTGCTTTCTGCTAAGCCTTTGATGGTTCTCTTACTGACTTAAACGAACTGTTTTTGTATTTGATCTACTCTGACATTCAATGCTCTTCTGACCCTGCAAAGTAACCATCTTAGGACTAACATCTAAGGAACTGGCCCAACATCCGGTCTCGAGACATTCTCAGACCTGGTGGGCCCACCATAACCACACTCCTCGCTCTCTCATGACAGGTGGTATTCATGTTCGACCTAAAGTCCTCTCCCAGCGCAGGGGAACTGATATTTGTGGAGCGCTACCAAGAGGTGATCCAGGAGTTGGCCCGAGTAGAGCATAAGATTGAAAACCAAAACTCAGATGGGGGTAACACCACCATTCGGCGAACTGGCAGTGGCCGCTCCACTCTGCAGGCCATTGGCAGCGCCGCAGCAGCAGGTCAGTCTTCCTTGCTCCCATCATAGGTGGAGACTTGCTGGGATGGAGGCATAAGGGAAGAAACCACCCAGATCACAGGTTCTTCATAGGACTGGGCAGAAAAGAAAAGCAGGACATGTGTCCTCAAAGCTAGCAATCCTGACACATTCCACTAGTTTCCTAGCTGTGCCCAATCTCCCTGACCAGGTGTTGACATACCTGCCACCCCAGCTTGTCCCCTGTGACGTAAGCTAAAGGGAAGGATGTTGTCTCATGCTTCCAAGAATTGTTAGGAGTTATTTCCTTCTCATGTAACTGGCAAGCATTTTCTTAAACTGAAAAGCTGATGCATTTATAGCCTTAGGTCCTCCGTGTGGTATAATTCCCAGCTGTGTCTGCATAGTCAAAAAGACCATCTTTCATTATTTATTTATTTATTTATTTATTTATTTATGTCTTTTTGAGACAGGATCTCCCTGTAGCCCCAGCTTGCCTAGAATTTGTGTCACCATGCCTGGCATCTTTCATTATTTCTAAAAGCAGAATCTTGTCCTGTGTTTTTACCTTTCCTAGTGCCTGAGACTCTATATATCAAATTATCATTGTATGTTTTCCTCTACATATGCTCCCAGAAATTTTTCTGTGCCTCTTTTAAAAATATATACTCAGGTCCTCATGCTTGTACAGCAAGTGCTCTTATCTATTGAGCCATATCCCCAGACCCCTATTGAAAAAATGTATAGGTACATCCTTTTAATATTTTTTGATATAAGTGGTCTTTTACAATAAATATTGGTGTCTACTTTGCTTTTTGGCAATGTGTTTTAGGTACCATTTCCCATTAGCATGCACTGATCCATGTCTTTCTCATCCTGCTTCTAGAACTTATTTGGAAGATACCCTCATGCCTCATCTCTACCACTTTGAGTTTACTGTGGTCTTCCTTTTCTGCCCTTTTTTTTATTCTTTGAAAGTGGGCTATAGTGATAGTGATAGTGCTAATATGCATACATCCTGTGCAGGAGAACCACCAACATTCTTAAAGTAACTACTACTTTCTGTGATCGAAATGGTACTTAGAATCACCTAACCCTTGCTTCTCACTGCACCACTGCATGTCCAGGGATGGTGTTTTACTCCATCTCTGATGTGACGGACAGGCTACTGGACACCTCCGAAGACCCTATCCCCACACTCCAGGAGGACTTTTGGATAAATGCTACTCTGATGGAGCCTGCCATGCCTCTGAGCGAGGTTCTGAAAGACCTCAGTCCTCCTGCTATGGCTGCATTTGACTTAGCTTGCTGTCAGTGCCATCTCTGGAAGACCTGCAAACAACTCTTGGAAACAGCTGAGCGGCGTCTGAACAGCAGCCTTGAGAGCCGGGGTGAGTGGGCAGGGTCACCTCCTTTCATCCTCCTTCATCCATCCATCCATCCATCCATCCATTCATTCATTCATTCATTCACTCTCAGCTGTAGAGGTGAGCTCCAGAGAGCCTTGAGAACTTATACAGAAAGAAAGCAGTAATTAGGGGAGGGAGAATAAGGAGAAAGCATAAATACTAGTTAACATCCTCACATCCAATCCAATGGCATAAACACAGACCGTTGAGCATCTCATCACCCTGAAAGACAGCAGTTTATAGTCACTTGTGGGAAATTCTTTTCTGGCTTATCATTAAATTCAAGGAGGAAACATACATTCAATGAGATAGTAGAAGGGTGACTACGTGAAGGGAAGGAGTTTCAGCAAGGGCAGGGAGGAGAGGAAGAGATGATGGGGTGAATATGAGCAAAGTACAATGATACACATACATAAAATGCCATAAAAATCATTTGGTACTATAAAAAAAAGAAAGAAAGAAACGTACTTTCAAGAATGATACAGGGCAGGGCTAGAGAGCTGGCTCAGCAGTTAAGAACACTGGCTGCTCTTGCAGAGGACCCAGGTTGGGTTCTCAGCATTCATATGGGTGGCTCAGAACCACCCATAACTGCAGATCCAGGGCATCCAACACTTTCTTCTAGCCTCCACAGGTATTGCACTACAAGGGTATACTTATATACATGTAGGCAAAACTCATAAGATAAAAGTAATTTTTTTAATTAAAAAAAATAATTCAGGGATACAAATGCAGGCATGAGGGTTTAGCACACATGAGCCCTGACTTCAGTCTCAGCACTACAGATAATTAGATACAAATAGAGTGTGTGTCATTAGACTGCGTGCCCCTCCTGGGTGAAGGTGTTTACCCTAGTCTAGGACTGCCATGAATCTGTAAACCAGATGCAAAGGAAAATTCAGCAGATTACAGTTGGACAGAGGATCATGCCTTGAAGTTAGGAATGTCCCAGCATGTGTGTATGGAATTCTTAGAGGAATCAGGTGTATAAAAGTAGAGTTACATGAAAATAGAATTAGATCATTAGAATAGACAGATGTGATTCCAGCTCAAGTCCACAGCTGAAGATAGTGCCAAAGCAAAGCCCTAAATCCTATGGCAACAAATCCCATAGGAGTGCCAGAGATTCTGGCTCTGTTGACAGCTGAGGCATCTCATCAAAGGTCCTAAAACCTCAAACATGGAATGCACCAGGTGTTTGTTGTCACACGCAATGACATGTGTATTTCGAGCTTCATCTTGGAAAAGAATAAAGTTACACAAGCAGACCTGAGTAACGGTCTCTGGAAGTCCTTTGTTCTCCTGCATTCCCTCTTTCCTTGGCTGTTTCCAGGTCGGCGGCTAAACCAGGTTCTCAATGCTGATGGTATTCGAGGTTTTCCTGTTGTTCTTCAGCAAATTAGTAAGATTCTCAGTTATCCACTTATATTAGCTGGACATGCTAAATCAGGTGAGTTGCTTTTCTCCATCCCCCCTCCCCACCCTTTTTCCCCTCCTGGACTTGGAACAGTAAGTTAAGAGCAGACTTCTTTTCTTTTCTTCTTTTCTTGCTTGCTTTCCACAGAGACTCTAGAAGAAAAGGGAGGAGGCTCTCTTCGATGCAGTATCACTGAGCTGCTTCAGATGTGCTGGCCCAGCCTCACTGAGGACTGTGTAGCCAGCCACACCAGCCTCTCTCAGCAACTGGATCAGGCTCTTCAGGCCCTGAGAGAGGCACTAGCACTCCCAGGTAGAGAGCCATGTGCATATAAACAGAAAAGCAGATAAGGATTGAACTAGGGAGACCCTGGAGGGTGTATGAGCACTTCAGAACAGAGGCTCTGTTCTCAGCCCAGACTCCAGAACTGGGCTCGGCTAGCTCTTTTTAAGTCAGCCAGCTCTTTTTAACTAGCCAAGGCACATCTCTGAACTGAACTTCCTTGTTTCCCTGCCTTCAAGTGAAAGGATGGTTAACCCTCTTAACAGTGGATACATTCTTTTCACTTATGCTGAGAAATATAGGCAACTGGTACTCAGTCAATATTGGTCAACCCTTCCCAGAAAATTACTGAGCTCTTCCAAAAGCTATTTCACCCCCAGAAACAGTAGCTCTTCCTGGCTGAGAATCACTTGTTTAGGTGGCTGAATTCAGAATTTTTGTCTACCTTGTAAGTATAGTGTCTGAGCAAAAAGATGCCCAATGCACTATATAGAATATTGGATCAAAAATTGACAGAAAGCTAGAAGCACAGACTAAAGCCTGTGTCCCTTCTCCCACCCTAATTCCTTTCAGAGCCCAAAAGTACTCCACTTGACTCCCTAGTAGATCAAGCATCTCAGAAAGCTCCTGAGGCAGAAGCCCACCTTGTGCACATCCAAAGTCAGCTCCTCCAGAAGACCCTGGGCAAACAGACGCTGGCAGACAGCAGACAGACTGACTATGTGGGCACTTTCTTCAGCTACTGCAACTCCCTGGCTACAATTCTCCTTCGGAGTTTGAGTGCTGATCCTGGTACGTAGCAGGAAAGAAGATAGGGGGTCATGACTGACAATTATTAGGGAAAGAAAGAGGAACAGTGCTCCATTAAGAGGCTCTGGGTACAATAGCCAACGAGACCAGGTTTGTAAAATTCTTATTCATCTGTCTATTTTATGCATCTTCATGCTAAGTAAGATTAAACAGCACATGGCGTCCTCAGTAACATCTCTTGGAATCAGTGCCTCCAAAATATCTCTGAAGCCAGGTGTGGTAGCACATGCCTATAATCCCAACACTTAGGAAACAGACGCAGAAAGATCAGCAGTTCAAGGACGGCCTGGGCTACATGAAACACTTATCAAAAAAGAATTTTTTTTTTTTTTCCTTTTTGCCAGACCTGGGGTCAATTGTGGATTTGAAGACCCAGTAGAAAAATCAAGGTTTTGGGTATGAGTACTAGAGTGTTGCTTGGGTTCAGAGAGCAAATACAGCTGAATACCCTAACCTGAGACTCTGCAGTCTGCTGTTGCTGTTGTTGTCATTATTGTTTGAGTCAGGGTCTCCCTGTAGCCCCAGGTAGCCTGGAATTCTTTGTGTAAACCAGACTGGCCCCGATCTCACAGAGATCTGCCTGCCTCTGCCTCCTGAGTGCTGGAATTAAAGGAAATGAAACTCTGAAATCTTAAATGTTCCAGAATCCAAAACTTTTTGAGCATCAACCTGACACTGTAAGTGGTTTGACAGGTCATAGTCAAAACACAGGTGAACTAAAATAGTGTTTAAAATTACCTTCAGGCTCTCTCTATATGCTGTAAATAAAACATCATCAGTATTTAAACTTAGATTCTGTCCCCATGATATCTCATTATGTATATGCAAGCTTTCCAAAATCCAAAACATTTGTAGTCCCAACGCATTCAGCTGTGGGATACTCAACCTCTCCTGACTGTACTTCATTCAGGTTGAAGTGAGCAGTAGTGTGTAGCTACACTGACCCGCTGCAGTTTGTCTGGGTTGGAAGTCTTCGAAGCTATAAGATGTAAAATTACTTGTATCCAGGGTCACATTGAGAAAAATCTATGCCTACTGTGAATCAATGGAAGGGTTCTCCATGTTGTCTTTGTCATAATTCACAATATGGCTAATTTGTTCTAGGAAACAATACCCTGTTACACCCAGTAGGGCAAACAAGGGTCACTTTCTTTACCTTTGCAGATAAGGTGGAGATTAAGATTGGAAACCCCTTTGTTCTTCTGCAACAGAGCTCTTCCCAACTGGTCTCATACCTCCTGCTTGAGAAACAAGTTCCTCCAGACAGGTAGGAGCCACCACCATGGGAGTCAGCCATGGGCCTCCCTGCTTTATCATGGAAGCAAAAACTGGTACAGCCATTGTGGAAATCAGTATGGAGGTTTCTACAAAAACAAAAATAGAACTATCATATGACCCAGCTGAACCATTCCTGTGCCTGTAACCAAAGGACTCCATATCCTACCACAGAGATACTTACACATCCATATTTCTTGCTGACCTATTCACAATATATTGCAAGGAAATGGAATCAGCCTAGATATCTATCAACTGATGAATAAATAATAAACACATGGTACATGTACACAAAGGAAGTTCATTCCCCTGTAAAGAATAGTGAAACTATGAAATTTGCCCCAAAATGCATGGATCTGGAAATTATTATATTAAGTGAAGTGACCCAGACTTAGGCAAATACCCTATGCTCTTTCTCATATGCAAATCCTAGCTTTTACTCTCTATATATGTGAATGTGGTTATAGGTCATGAAACCAGAAAGGGGGCCACAGATGGGAAAAAGATTTTGTGTGTGTGGGGGGAGGGTATCAGACACATGAGACGTGAAAGCAGATAGGGGATGGCAAGGGGTAAAAGGACTTAAGGAAGGGGCAATGACTAGAGGAGAAGAGTAAAGAAGGAAGATCAACAAAAACAAATTTCAGATTAAAAGGCCATAATGAACCCTATTACAATATATGCTAAACAAACAAATTGATAGGCCCTTCACCTAGCAATCCATGCTGGGAAATTTATCCTGGAACTTTATTATATGTATGAAAAGTGGTACATGTGCCACAGATCAGAAGACTCCATGGTCTACTAATAGAGAATGGATTATGTTATGGTTTATCCTTAGAATACTTTGTAAGTATAAAAAAAATCATAAAGTTTCTCTCTATAGACAAATGATGACATATCTCTCAGATATGTGAAAAGCAAAGGCCCAAGTCATGTGTCTAGCTGAGCTACCTTTCATATTAGTCTTTAAAAGGAGATGGATTAGGAACCTTCGTTCATATTTGCTGTGTAAACACAAAGAAACTGTAAGATTGAAACCAGTTGTGGTGGTACCTGCCTGTAATCCCAGCACTCAGGACATAGAGATAGCAAGTTTGAGGCCAGCCTGTTCCACGTAGGAGGTTCAAGGGCAGCCAGGGCTACACAGCAAGACCTTGTCTAGAATGAATGAATGAAAGAAAAGAAGGAGGGGGAGGAAAGAAAAGAGAGAGAGAAAGAAAGGAAAGGAAGGAAGGGAGGGAGGGAAGGGAGGGAGGGAAGGGAGGGAGGGAAGGAGGGAGAGAAAAAGAAGAAAAGAAATTGTGAGATTGGGTGGTGGTGCCTCACATGCCTTCTGCTTCTGTCCCTCCAGGCTGGCAGCCCTTCTTGCCCGGGAGGGTCTCAACCTAAGTGTGCCTCAAGTCATCATCAACTGCTGCTGTGAGCCCCTTACTCTTTGCCCTTCTCGACAAAGCCAACAGGCCTCATCGCTTCTGATCCACCTGGGTGTCCTGGCTCAGCAGTACACCTCTCACCTCCTGGATGGTGTCCCACTCTCTACGCCAAGCTCCCCTAGACCAAATGAGAATCCTGCAGCAACAGAGAAGAAGTCTCGTTCCTCCCCAAGGGACTCCTTACTCCCGGGCTTCACCTCCTCTGCCTTGGCTTTCCTTAAGTCCTGCTCAGAGCTACTGGCCACAGTGGCCTGCCTGGGGGCTTCTCGGGGGACAAAGGCCAGCAAGCCCAGTCTGTCTTGGAAGGAATTGTGTGGTCGCAGGGAGGCACCTCTGACTGTGGAGAAGGTAGCCCAGGAGTGTGAGCACCTCCTAGAACAGTTTCCTATGCTCGAGGCCTCCCTCTTGGCAGCTTGGGAGCCTCTACACGGGTCCTCTGAGCAGGAACAGGGTCTGGCAGCCAGTCTCTGTGGTCAGGCCAATCTCTCTACTGTCCTTTTGGGTCTGCATTCTCCTGCTGCCGTGGATGTACTGACTGAGGCCTTTGAGGAAGCCCTGGTGGCCAGAGATTGGCCACGTGCCCTTCAGCTCATTGAAGTGTATGGGCGAGATTCCGATGACCTAAGCAGCGTGAGGGATGCAGTCCTGAGCTGTGCTGCAGCCTGTGGTAAGCAGAAGCCACGCCTCCCTCTTTCACTAGCAGCAACAATATTTAGTGTTTAAATGTATGATCACATTTAATCTTCTCAATAACTCTAGCAAAAAGTATCACCATAATCTTATTTTACTAGGATTAGACTAAGGCTCAGAGAGGTTAGAAATTTTACCCAGGGGGGCTGGAGATGGCTCAGCTGTTAAGACCACTGACTGCTTTTCCAGAGGACCTGGGTTCAGTTCCTAGCACCCACATGATGGCTAATGACCATCTGTAACTCCAGTTTTAAGGCTTCCTTCTGACCTCCATGGTCATGCACATAATACACTTATATACATGGAAACATTTGCACATATAAAATAAAAATAAATAAATCCAAAATTTAAAAAAAAGAAATGAAGTAAAGAAAAGAAAACTTTCCCAGGGCAGAAAGTAGAATAGAACTTAGAGCCCAAATCTGTCTAACTTTAGAATGGTGATTAACAACCAATAACCAGTATTTTCGATCCTACATATCAGAGTCAGTGTCAGATCTAGAAATGACAGTCTGGGCCCCCATCTTCAGAGGTCCAGAAGGGAGTTCAAGTAATTGTAAATTTATTTATTTTTATTTTATGTGCATGAGTGTTTTGCCTACATGTATGTAAGTACGCCCATGTCATGCAATACCCAGAGAGGCCAGAAGAGGGCATCAGATCCTCTAGAACTGGAGTTAGAGATGGTTCTGAGCTGTCTTGTGGGTGCTGGGAATCAAACCCAGGTCCTCTAGAAGAACAGCCAGTGCTCTTAACTACTAAGCCATCTCTCCAGCATTGTAAGTGATAACTTTAAAGGAGAAGTTAGCACTTTTTTTTTGTAAAGTACTTTGACGGCCATACAGTTTTTGTTGTAACTACTCAGTTCTACAACTGCAGCATGAAAGCAGCCAGAGTCCATACATAAAGGGATGAGAGTGGCTTCATTCTAATAAAGCTGTTTATAAAGAATGAACTGAACTATGAGCTGGGCCTGGTGGTTAAAGCTTACAATTCAGCATTTGGGAGGTTGAGACAGGAGGATAACAAGTTTGAGACCAGCTTGGGACTGAATGAGATTCTGTCTCAAAACAGAACAAGGGGCTCAGTGGGTAAAGTGCTTGCTACCCAAGCATGAGGACCTGAGCTCAGATCTCCAGGACCCAAATAAAAGCCAGGATGACCCAGAACACATCTGTAAGCCCAGCACTTAGGGGACAGGGACAAGTATGATCCTGGGGGCCAGCTAGCTAGCCAATCAACCCAAACCAGCAAGCTGTTGGTCAGTTAGAGGTACCATCTCAAAAACCAAGGTGTAGGGTCAGTGAGATAGTTCATCAGGTAAAAGCACTTGCCAACTAGCCCAGCAATGTGAGTTTGATACCCAGAACCAATATAAAGATAGGAAGGAAGAGCCAGCTCCCAAAGGTTATCCCTCTGACCTCCACACATATGCCATGGCACTCACCCTCACACACATATAACATACACACAATAAAAACAAATAAGTAAATAATGATTTTTTAAAATAATGTGAAGAGCAGTAGAAGACACGCAACATCAACTTCTGACCTCCACATGCAGGTGTACACAGGCATATGCCACACATACACACACACACACACGTAAGCAAAAGCATTCCAAGAGATTAGAATGTATAATCAAAATAGAAAACCAATGAGATGAAGTGCTCCACTGGGAAGAGCAAAAGTCAAGTGTGCTCCCAGGAGTGGCTTTCTAGCAGAGGTGTGGCTGCCCTTTGGAAAGGGAAAAATCTTCCTTAAGAAGGTTAAGAAAGGGGGCTGGTTGGGTGTGGTGGCACAGGCCTTTAATCCCAGCACTCTGGAGGCAGAGGGAGGCAGATCTCTGTGAGTTAAAGGCCAGCTGGCCTACATAATGAGTTCCAGGACAGCTGGGGCTACAGGAAGACCCTGTCTCAAAAAAGACCAAAAAGATTCTCAGCACCCACATGGCAGCAAACAACTATCTATAACTCCAGTTCTGAGGGGATCCAACAGCCTCTTCTGACCTCCGTGGGCATTGCACAACACAGGTGCACTTACCTATATGCAGGCAATATACGCATACACATAAAAATATAAAAATAATAAATAAAATATTTTTTAAAAAGTTAAGAAAGCCCCCAAAATGACTCTTTGGTATTAATTGCTTGGGGTCTTTTTTTAAAATTTCCAAGATCAGATCTATGAAACAATTGTGGAAAAGAGCAAAGGAAAGATTGTCTAACTGACAAACATCTAGAGAATGAAACTCATTCACCTGAACTAACTTTCAAGTGGTTATACAAGATGCAGAGTAGAAACTACAGGAAAAACTCAAGTTCCACTGACAAGATGAAATTGAAAGGCATCATAACAAAACACAGGACGCTTCCTTCCCTTCCTTTCCTCTCTTATCTTTGTCCTTCCTTCCTTCTCTCCCTTCTGTGAATACCATGACTGACAGCTTACGTAAAGGTACACTAATGGTAGAGGATTTCTCCTTGTCATATAATGTTTCTAGGTATAAGACCTAGTTATTATCACTTGAATCTTAAGGCTCCTCCAAGCTTCTATTTTAAAAGATGGAACAAAGCTTCTAGTAACGGGGACTGCTAAGCCCTTTCAGGTTAGGCTTGCTGCTTCTGGACATTGTTTTGTCTTATAGACAAGGAAGGTTGGCAATACCTATTTCCTGTGAAGGATGCATCTCTGAGAAGTCAGCTGGCCTTACAGTTTGTGGACAGGTGGCCCCTGGAGTCATGCTTAGAGATCCTGGCCTACTGCATTTCAGACATGGCTGTCCAAGAAGAACTAAAATCTGAGCTTCAGAGGAAGCTTGTGGAGCTACGGATCTACCAGAAGGTATGGGCTATAGCATTGAGCATAAAAAACAGGCTTCTCACCAATGTCCATCCTCAGCCTGTTTTCTTATGATAAGATATTTTAAGAAACAAAAAATGTAGAATGGGGTTTTCCTATGCATCTAGCTTCTTCTGTTCTTAGGTGAATGGAAAGGAGACTCTATCTGGTTCCTATGTTATTGCTCCTACTATTTTAAATATATTTACATCAGGGCTGGAGGGATGGCTTAGTGGTTAAGAATACTGGCTGCTCTTCCAGAGGACCCTGGTTTGGTTCCCAGCACCCACACAATGACTAACAACCATTCAAAACTCCAATTCTAGGGGATCCCATGCCCTCATCTGACCTCCACAGGCATTACATGACATAGGTGCACTTATATACCTGTAGGAAAGACACTCATACATATGAAATTAAAATAAATAAATACGTTTGCATCAAGCATGCATAATAATAGAATTAGTGTTGGAATGGTGCAGTACACTCCACAAAGATATTTTCAGATGTATAGTTGAGCTTTGTATATATTCTACTTGTATTGTCTTTTCTTGAAGAATGTTCTAAAGTTCAGCTAAATTTCCAGAGCCATTTTGAATCTTTCAAATGTGAAAGGTTTTGTGGGATATGCATTGTACCAAGCTGAAGATACTTAGGGGGACAGACTCCACAGGCACAGCTATGAATCAAGTGTGCAGTGTATGTCAGCTTCCCCTGTGCCCTTGGAGCAGAACAGAGTCCAGAGCTCACCAGACAAGGGACCTCTTCAACAGCTTTTATACAAAGCTAAAATGGTACAGGAAAGGTGATCCCACAGAACATTCAAGCTAGAAGAACTTCTTAGGTCCAGTTTTGAGGTGGAGGATCTAGGGACAAATGATCTTGACCTCACAAGTCTGGATAAGCCTTTGAGAAATGTCTTCAACAGTGTAAGTCCCTATTCTGGGCCCTAGCCAGGCTTTTTCTCTGATTTTACTTCTGAAAAGCTTCATTGCCTCTAAACAGTCTTTGCCTCACTTGCTTTCTTTCTCCTCTTTCCTGGAAAGTTCTAACAGCTTGACTTGGGGGTAGACATCTAGGGATGGCCATTCCATGGATACATCAGTGACTTATTCGTGAGAAGCTGCCCGATGTTCTGATGGGTTTGTCTGCCTTTCCTTAGATTCTAGATTTGCAAGATCCTCCAGTGTGGTGTGATTGGCAGACCCTGAGGAGCTGCTGTGTTGAGGACCCATCGTCTGTCATGAACATGATTCTGGAAGCAGAGGTACTATTTTCCAGGATGGACTTCCTTCCAGAGCTAGAACTCCTTAGCTAGTTATGTAGCTCCCTTTGCATGTGTCAGTGTCCAGATTTTTTATAACTACAACATATTCTTTTTTTCTTTCTTTTAATTGTGAAATTTGCCCACATACAGGGAAGTAGAGATTTTCTATACTATGTGCAGAGTGTATTCCTAAAAGTGGAATTGCTGTTCATCTTTTTACTAGGATGCTACTGATCTCTCATCAAATCAGAGATCCCAGTTATAGTCTCACTCCTACTTTCTGTTACACCTCATCCTTGACAACTCCTTATATTTCACTTTTTTGCTGTTTGCCTCTAGGATGTTGTCTCATTGATGCACATTGCATTTCCATGATCAGTACTGAGTGTGAATCTCTTCCCTTTATTTATTATCCATTTCAACACTAAATAGAAATGTGTCTACCTTTTAAGAAGCTGATACACCATAGTTGAAAATGTAGATGTTCATTCAAATGCTCATTCATCCAGGAAATAGTTACTAAATGCTACTGATCACTATGCTAATTGGTAGAGAGACAAATCTAATTAAAATTAGCCCTTGCCCTTGAGTGACTTACATTTTAAGGAAAGGGGCCAATGTAAGATGCATCCCAAAGTGATTGCAATATAAAATATCAGGTGACAAGTGTTAGGTCAGATTATGGGGGCTCAAACAGGACACCTGACATCACCTAAAATGCAAGGAAGTACAGTGAAAAAGGCAGGCGCAGCCAGAGGAATAGGGAGGCCATCTCAGACACTAGCACCTCGGAATATTTGGGCACTGTCAGGTGCCCTGTCTTAAGGCAGACTTAAGAATGTTAAGAAAAACCAGGTAAAATTTGGATTAAATGTCAAAGCCAAGCCTGGCTTTTAATCCCAGCACTCTATAGGCAGAGACAGGTAGATCTTTTGAGTTCAAGTTCAGCCTGGTCTACATACTAAACTCCAGTCCAGCTAGGGCTGCATAATGAGACCCTGTCTCAAAAATGAAAAAGGAAAAAAATTAAAGATAAAGACAAAGTCAGTAATCTAAAGGAAATAAAAGTATGTGTGTTTCCTTGCAGGAGTATGGGCTGTGTGAGGAGTGGGGCTGCCTGTACCCAATCCCAAGGGAACATTTAATCAGTCTTCATCACAAGCATCTTCTCTACCTGCTAGAAAGAAAAGAACATGAAAAGGCTCTGCAAGTAAGCATATAATTCTTCTCACTTTTCATTTGGGGAGTAATAAGGTTAGTCAACTCAGGTGACTTTTTTCCTACTGAACCCCATGCAAAGTATTTGCAAACATAGATCTGCCCCTTGTGTCCTTCAGGAGCCACTTACAGCCATCTTGAGCTGTGCTTAGCCCTACCTAAGTACTAGATGGAGCCGCTGGGTCCTGTCAAAGTCCTGGCTCACTGGTAAACTTTGGGGGTGGTGAAAATAAATCTAGAGAAAAGATTAACATAAAATAAACCTAAATATTCTTTTCTCAAAGTGAAGAAGGCTGCCCTTAAGAGTTCTTCAGGTCTCACCGTCCTCCTCTGCCCTTCCACTACAGCTCCTACAAAGAATCCCTGACCCCACCATGTGCCTTGAGGTCACAGAGCGGTCCCTTGACCAGCACCCTAGCTTGGCCACTTCACACTTCTTGGCCAACTACCTCACCTCCCACTTCTATGGAGAACTGACCACTGTCAGACACCGTGAAATCCAGGCATTGTACATGGGATCCAAGGTGAGGAGGAAAGGGGTTTGGGGAAGTAATAGCTGAGAAGGGGACTGCTGGCCCTGCTTCTACTTCAGAATTTGCTCTTTCATAGGTACCTACCATCATAGGCACCTGCCATTCTTGGCCTGTGCTATATCAAGTCCTAGCCTGGCAGCCCACTTTATCTTAACTCTATCTCCTATGACTGGTCCTGCCCTGCCTGCAAGGAGAATTTTACCCAGTCTCTCAAGTTATCCTTGGGCCTTCCATGACACCTGTTGTATTATTGTTTCTCAAGACTGACCATGTATTAGAGTCATGTAAACTTTTTAAAAATACTGATAGTTGACCTCCATCCCAGACCAGTTAAAAGTAGTCTTGATGCTGGGTGTGGTGGCACATGCCTTTAAGCCAACCACTTGGGAGGCAGAGGCAGGTGGCTCTCTGTGAGATTGAGGTTAGCCTGGTCTACATAGTAAGTTCCAGGCCAGTTGAGGCTACAGGAAGATCCTGTCTAAAACAAAACAAAACAAAATAAAAAAGTAGTCTTGGGATAGTTATCTTCCAAAGGGATTTGGGTATAAGAATTTAAAACTATTTCTTGATAAACTAGTCTGTATTCACAGAAGATGGTTATTTATCTCATTATGTTGGAGACACTATTAGAGTTAATTATAAGCTAAATGGCACCTTCTGACACTCTTCTGATTATGCTGATTGGCAGCAAATAGAACAAGTGCCAGGTAACCTATGGAAGAGATTTGTTTTGAGACTAGTCTTACGTAGCCCAGGCTGGCTTTGAACTCACTACATAACTGAAGCAGCCTGAACTCCTGAACTGCCTGCCTCTACCTCCCATGTGTGGGGGTTTCAGGTACAGGCCACTATGTTCAACATTTTTTTTTCTTTTTGATTCACTGTACCTAAGTAGGGGAATTGGCATGAGCAGAACAGAACTAGTGAAGCTATTTCAAGCCTAGTGATCACGACCTCTAAAGGGAGTTTGTATTCCTTGTTGATGAGTAGGACAGAGGAGGGGCCAGGATTGGGCAGCCAACTGACATCACCCTGTATTGCTTATTCTAAGTAAAGCCTCATATAGATTGGTAGCATAATGGGTCAGACAGGGCTCAACTATGCCTGGAGATAGGTCATGGGTCAGCTAATTACCATCCTTAGGCCAAATCTAGGCCTTAGCCTGTTTTTTGTAAATCAAGATTTGTTGGAGCAGGACATATCCATTCATATACTCACTTATATGTTTTTCTGTTGGCATAATGGGTCAGACAGGGCTCAACTATGCCTGGAGATAGGTCATGGGTCAGCTAATTACCATCCTTAGGCCAAATCTAGGCCTTAGCCTGTTTTTGTAAATCAAGATTTGTTGGAGCAGGACATATCCATTCATATACTCACTTATATGTTTTTCTGTTGTTGCTTTCATGCTATATTGGCAGAGCTGAATAGTTTTATGATCCTAAAGTCTAAAATGTTTGCTCTCTGACGTCTTATAGAAAAAGATTTGCAACCCCTTGTCTAAGTAAAGGTAGTGAGGGCACTTTACAATTGCCACCCAATTGAACTTGAATTGGACTTAGTTCAACCTTCCTTCCCAAAAGACAGCTGACTAGTTGTAGTAAGGCTATGGGCCATTGTCTCTGTAACCCTTTCCCTTCCCTATAAGAATCTTGAGATTTCCCTGAAGTTTATATACTATTGTCTTTGTTCTACAATCTACCCCACAAACAGGTTCTGCTGACCCTGCCTGAGCAGCACCGGGCCACCTATGCCCACTTGTCCTCCAATCCTCTGCTCATGTTGGAGCAGCTACTGATGAACATGAAAGTGAACTGGGCTACTGTGGCTGTACAGACTCTGCATCAGCTGCTGGCTGGACAGGAGATTGGCTTCACCCTGGAAGAGGTTGACTCGCTGCTTTCCAGATATGCAGGGAAAGCCCTGGACCTCCCATACCCTCTGAGAGAAAAAAGATCAGGTAACTGGCAGCATACTAGACAGCAATTCTGTATGGAGGAAGAAAGACCACGATATATTCTTAGTTTCATTTTTCTCTTTTGGGTTGATTGAGACTGAAAGGAATACACTTCAGGAGATACTGCTTTTCTTTAGGCAAGATCTTGATCATGGAAGAAGGGGCCAAATCCTTTATGTATAATAACATAAAGGTGTGGAGAATCAAACATTACTGGAAATAGTGTCTGTCTGGCCTTGACACACGGGCCTCTTAAGTGCTATCATTTTCATGGGGCGTATGCTTCAATTCCAGAGTCACTCCAGATAGCCATTGTATGTGAGCTTATTCAACCTCTTCTAGAATGAAGAAAAGCAAATAAGTCTAGATGGTGTTCCTGGCCTGCTCCCTATCTTCCAGCATCATTTAAATGTCTTCCACTTCTCTCTGGACATTTTTAGATTGATTTTGAAAAATCCTAGTGTCTAGAATGAAGAAAAGCAAATAAGTCTAGATGGTGTTCCTGGCCTGCTCCCTATCTTCCAGCATCATTTAAATGTCTTCCACTTCTCTCTGGACATTTTTAGATTGATTTTGAAAAATCCTAGTGTCTGCTCCATTGTGTTATGTGTCTTA